CGCGCAGAGAGGCGGCATGGATCGTATTAATTTCCATTGTTCCCCGTGAAATAGAATAACGCGCTGTGAATAAAATAATCCCCGATGGCTCGCGGCGCGGCCGTGGCGGAAGCCTAGGCGATACAAGCCTCTATCCGGCGCGGCCATCTAAATAGGGGCCGTGTATTCTATCGGCGCGTGCACGCAGGAACACGGCCGTGGCGTGTAACGACGTCACCGAGCAGTATCTCTGTTACGCCTGGCTTGCCGTGGACTGTGGCCGCTCACGCATCGCTTAACATAATCCCCCGTCCGACCAGGACTACATAGATTACGGAATGATACCTCTGAAACGCGTACAATTATATTGGCGTGAGATATTTCGCCCGCGAACGGTGTTTCGTGGTCCGAATCTGAATGCGGACACCCGGAATTTCTGGCCGCCGCGGCGGCGGTTCTCGCGGCCGGATAAATATCGAAAACTGAACTACGCCGTAATTCGTGGCCGTCGTTCTCGAACACCGATCCCGATCGATCCGTGCGCCGCGTCTTCCCGTCGGTCTTTTTCCGTCGATTCCGCGAAGAGATTTCGCGTCGCGTTTCTCGCGACTCCTCGATTCGACGCGTCGACCGCCGCAGGAATTGCTATAAAAATCATTAGTAATTCGGAACGAATTTTATTTCAGACGACAATGGAGGGGACGAGGATTATTGTCGAGATTATATCCGTGATACTTTTGAATCGGATGCGATATAGATACGAAATAATTGTGATTTATTTGATAGATTGTGCCGAGAATTCTGTATCAAATTTGCTAATCGAAATTTTGTCAGTCGATTATGACCGTCGTGGCAGGCGAAGCGTGGATCTGCTGCGAAATAATTTAGTCGCAAGAGATATCGATCTTTATTTTCTCGAGAATTTGCTAGTGAATTTACGTCACGCGTTTGTAGTACGTCTAATTTTTCCGAGAAGATGGACTAGAATTCGTAACTCCATACGATCTTTATGAAAATGAATACTTTTGTTTTTGTGGCTGCTGAATTCCGATATGTCAGTAAAAAGTGCAGTTGATCGTTAACATTAGCGTTATCTTTATCTTATTTTTTGCGAACATCGATAATGTTCCAATATTTCGTTATAACTGTTAGAATATAAATTAGGACATAAAATTTAACGCTCGATTTACGGAGCCCAAAAACAGCTGCTTTATATTTATAAGAGTATCAATAAGACATTTATTCTGATTTTTAACAAGTGTTATTACTCAACATTTACGTGTTAAGTAACATATAAATTGAATAAACAATTCATAAATGTATCTTTACGATATGAATAATCGTAAATTAAAAAATTAGTGACCCGCCATTTTGTGTCAATATGACGATCTTAATTTCAACATCTCCAACATTGTTCACAAGTTGTCACAATTTTGTTCACGAAGCTAGCGGCAGTCGACGCGTGAAATTCTTGAAATTATGCAATGGTGGACGAAAAGGGTTAACGCGCGATCGCTGTTCAATTTTAACGAGAAATCGATCGCGCCCGATCGGAACTTCGGACGTGGCACCGAACAATGGTTTTTCCGCGACGAAGCAATTCGAGCAAGCCAGCGGTCGAAACGAGCGGGAATCGGAGCGGGGACGGCTGTTTTATAATAAGCATGTAAATAGAGACTGTTTCTTGATTAAATTGTTGGAAGTTCCGGCCATTATGCCGGTCGGAAACCGCACCGAGAATTATAATGTAGCCTGTTCGCTCTATTTCGTGGGCCGAATCCGAATGAGTTTGTCGTTCGTCTGCGTGAAACTGGAAATTCCAGTGTGGCGGTCCGCGCGGCGACGATTCCCGCCGAAAGATAAATCCAAAACCGACGCTCTAATTCGCGATTTAATTTAAATGCTAATTTCGAAAATAGAAATCCCCCTCCCGAACGTGTTCTCGTCGCGATCGCGTCTGATCGTTGCCGAACGAGAAACTGGCCCCGCCGGCTCTTCCTTTCGCGTTCTCTCGCGGCTCTTTTTCCCCTCCGTCCGCGCATCCACTTTTTCGAAACAGCCCGGCGAAAATCTTCCCGAGACCTCGAACACAGCCCCGTCCGCCGGTTTCGCCGCTAAACAGCAACTTTTCAATCTCGGCAGCGTGGGCGGCAACTTTCCAGCCGCGAGACTTTCCAACCGAGTGATACTTTATCGAAGCCCTTTTCGCGCGCGATCGAAACTTTTCATACTGGCTTCTCTGAGCCGGTCACGCGACCAGCCAGCCGAGTTCCGGCCGAATCGGACCCAGAAATGGTTTCCCCGGGGAGGAATTACACTGCCCGGCAGTCCTACGTCGGCTCCGCGAGGTACACTACCCTCCAGAAGTACAGCAAATTCTCTCCAGTTCTCCTTCAGCTTGTGAACCAAAATTTTCGATTTGGGAAGAGGAGATACGATCAGTCTCGCGGCTCATTTTTATAGTTGCCGATTTGCCAACAATTATGAAATCTCTCTTCCAAAATTGTACATTTTTGTTCACAGGTTGCAGGAAAATTATTTTTCTATTTAATATATCTGGATACTCCAAAAAATCAGATGTTCCATCATTCAAAAAATTCCTTCAATAAAAACACTGCAAGTCAGAAGAATTATTTTAGATTTACGATTAAAATAGCTTCGGGTGCAAAGGGTTAACTCTGCGTTATGGTATTTCCATTTTATGTGACAAAGTGCATTTTGTGCATATGAAATTGTGTCTTGTGACTCGTTAGACTTTTAATAATTTTTTACATCTAAACTTTGATAATATAAAAATTCTCTTGCAACGTAATGTAACAATTTTAATGGTGCCTCAGAATCACCACTCGAGTGCAAAGGGTTAATAATTTTTTGATAACTTCGTACGTCTTCATTCGCTTCCGAATGAATCAAACCGATCACAGATAACGTTATCACTGATAGCGAATGAGCCAAATTTCGTTTCGATTTAAAAGGAATAAATGTCATTCTCTCTCGTATTTAGTACATTACGTTGCGAAATCGTCGTCACCGGTCCGATTCGTTGCTATAGCGTAACAGGCTAACAAATCGTAATTCAAATTCGAGAATGTGTTTAGTTTCCGTGAAACGAAGACGCGAGACAGTGGCGCGAACTTTAATAGATCCGACAGCGGTTTTAACCCTTTGCTATTGGCAAGTATTACAATGCAATTTTAATAGCTTCTCTTTAAATATAAACGAGTCTGATGCTCTCGGAATGATTTTGAAAATTAGTATACCAATTTTTCAGTGGCGCCACAGAGTCGCCATTCGAGTTCAAAGGGTTAAGCATTCAAGCAGACGTAAACACACGATAAGTACAGTAATGTAATGCAAAGGGTTAATTTTTACAACGTCGCAGGCATTCATGCGAACGGATCGATGTTCATTCTCGCCGATACGCGGGATCCGTTCTGCGCGGTTCTAGCGGTTGCGAGGGTGAGAGAGAGAGAGAGAGAGACAGAGAAAGAGAGAGAGAGAGAGAGACAGAGACAGAGAAAGAGAGAGAGGGAGAGAGAGAGAGAGAGAGAGAGAAAGAGAGAGAGAGAGAGAGAGAGACCGTTGTAATTTTATCCGCGGGACGCGTGCCGTTTAATTATCGGGGCCCGGCGGAACTGAATCACCGCGTTAAAACGCGCCGCCGATTATTAATATTTGCGATCTCCGCAATCAGTTGGGATTTTCATTGGCCGCGTACGACGTTTTTGCGACCGGATCGACGCCGGGAATGCTCGCGATACGTTAGCGACTTTCTTCGATAATATTAATTCGGGCTCGCGACACGTTTTAATTTACCCGGGAGAACCGGCGCCGCTTTGTTTCTCGCCGGGCGACGTCGTTCGCCGGCGATGCCCGTGCAACGAACGCCGCGGCGCGCACCCGATATCGTGGAACGCAATTACGCGGCCCGGGTACCGATTACACAACGATCGGTAATGGAAAGTTTCGTAATTACAGGGAACAGGATGATTAATACGTTCACGCTGCGAATCATAGTAATTTCGGTCTTTGAACGGGCACACACGTGCGCGCCGGGCATCATCGACCGTTCGTTCCATCGGACGCCTTTATCGGCCCCCGAATTAAACACCGTGTCCCGTTTCGGTTTCCCATCGGCGTCCCTTCTTGCGCTTCCTTCGTCCGAGCCGAGCCGAGCGGCTATCAAAATCCCAAATTAAATTCAGCCCGCATGCGAAATAAAGCTAGTATCATAGAAACGCATCGATTGTTGGCGTTAAATCGAATGTCGAAGATAATGGATCAACCCTTTGCACATAATCCATGATTTCTTCCACACGGTGATCTGCGTTTCTTTGGACGCAAAATTTATGTTTATTGTAGTATGTTCGCATGAATGCATTTCCATTGCTAGCAACATCTGAACTTTTTGGGACCGGAACAACTTCAACGAGAAAAGCTCAGGAAAAAGACCTACTGAATCTATCCTAATCTAATTTTCTGAAGAGACTGCAGTGATTTCTTTCTAATTCGCGGTCAGATTGCACACAAAAATGGACAATTTGGGAACAGAAGATACGATTATTAGAGCCTTGCGTCTCGTTTTTATAGACTTTTTTATAATCGGTAACCGTAAAAACGAGCTGCAAAGCTCGAACAGTCGTATCTTTTCTTACCAAACTGTCCATTTTTGTGCGCAATCTGACCGCGAATTAGGGAGAAATTACTGTATCGTAACTTCGAAAAAAAGAAATCCTGGATCGCAAAGGGTGAATCGTAGATAATTTTATAATTTTCTGAATCTCCCGCTGTGTCACAATTCCTATGCGAAGCTCGAATGTCATATAATTTTCGAAATTTAAGAATTTCATTTGGACATTCTAGAATCATCGTTTGCTTCGTTAGAAGTCGATATCTCATTTCCAAATTGTATTCATTTCTAAATGTAATTTTCATTTCTAAAGTAAATTCTCTCAAATTGTCCCTCAGCTTGTAATGAAAAATAAACAATTTGCGCAGAAGAGATACGATTATCTGTAGTCGTTAACGCAAAATGTTTTAAAGTTTGTCGATTCGAATTGTTCGTTTTTGTTAAAAAAGCTGAGGGACAATCGGCGAGAATGTACTGTATCGAGAACAGATAGTCGTTGAACAACGTCCGAAATCTTCGTAACGAGTCCGTTACCGTTGTTGCATTCGAAACAGTTAAGCCCGGACAAAGTGGACGTTCCGGCCGATCGCGTTGAAACGCGCATTCGTTGCCCCGAAAACGCCGGACACCCTTGATTGCTCGGTTCTAGCGTTAATATCGGCGCGAAGGATCGCGGTCGGCCGAAACGTTCGCGGCAGGATGACCTTTTGAAAAACGAGAATGAAATTTCCTTCCACCCCCCCGGCCGCCCTCCGTCCACGGGTTTCGATAATTGGATTTTCCGTGGCTCTTCGAGCGTGGTTTAAAAAATATCTGCGGATATCCAGGGGCGCCGAGCGCTGCCGGTCCGCGTGGCACCCTCATGATTCCGCGAGGACGCGAGAACCGTGCTCGCACCATTTTTCACGTGCCGAAGCATTAATCAAATCCCTCCCCGGCCACCTAACCCCCTGGCCCCCCGCGGGCCAGCTCTCCTTCCCCCGGGGAGTTGTCTACTTGAATGCTACTTTCTGCTCGCTTGAAAAGTCGCTGCCACGAGGCTCCCATTCAAGGAAGCCTGTCCACGCAGCTCACGCACGTCCTCCAGAGGGACAATGCTATTCCGAATCGACCACTTTCGACCCTTCTCCCCCGGAATAATTCAGCTGCGGCACACTGCGTCGAGGTAATCCGATGCATCATTTTTTAGCTCCCTGCTTCCGGATTCAGGCGTTCCGCCAGCTGGCAATCTTATTAATAGGCTAATCTTCGAACTGTTTGGCTTTCGTTCTAGGAACCGTGCTGCTAATTTAACCAGTTAGCCAATAGGCTAATCTTCGAGTTGTTTGGCTTTTATTCCGGGAACCGTGCTGCTAATTTAACCAGTTAGCCAGTAGCCTAATCTTCGAATTGTTTGGCTTTTATTCCAGGAACCGTGCTGCTCATTTAACCAGTTAGCCAATAGGCTAATCTTCGAGTTGTTTGGCTTTTATTCCAGGAACCGTGCTGCTAATCTAACCAGTTAGCCAATAGGCTAATCTTCGAATTGTTTGGCTTTTATTCCGGGAACCGTGCTGCTAACATAACCAGTTAGCCAATAGGCTAATCTTCGAATTGTTTGGTTTTTACTCCAGGAACCGTGCTGCTAATTTAGCTGTCGCGATCTCTCGAAAAACATAGGCTCGGTGCTACGTCCGCAAAATCTTCTGTCTGAATTTTTAGAATTTAGAAAGTTACAGTTTCACGATATACATATGAATGCTCGGTATTGGTGTGCAAAACTTGAAATTTTATGAAGTTCTTCTCGAAAGTATGTTCTTTTTTTTCAAAACGGTGACTATCGTATCTCAAAATCTACTTAACCAATTGCTTTCGCATGTTTCTTGCTGTCTCGATTAGCAGCTACTCATTTTTGTCATGGGTTTAGGGCTTTATATTCAGCCTAATGCATCCGGAGAAACCATTTTCACTTAATAGATTAACTTTGCAACAGCTCAATAACAATGCTTCGCGATTGGTCGATGCATCGCGACGATAAGAAAAATTCAAGTCGCAACTTTCCGAATAAAACTTTCGCCGAGATCTTTCGACTTTTTGCTTTCGATTCAAGCGGCAATGCTTAAAAATCTAAAAAGCAGAATAATCAGATTACAGATCCTTGTCCAAGGTCTTCGATTCCGATAGTTTTTCGGCGCCCCCAATCATTTTGCTGTCTCAATTAGCAGCTACTCATTTTTGTCATGGGTTTAGGGCTTTACATTCAGCCTAATGCATCCGGAGAAACCATTTTCACTTAATAGATTAACTTTGCAACAGCTCAATAACAATGCTTCGCGATTGGTCGATGCATCGCGACGATAAGCAAAATTCAAGTCGCATCTTTCCGAATAAAACTTTCGCCGAGATCTTTCGACATTTTGCTTTCGATTCAACCGGCAAGAATCCTAAAAGCAAAACAATCAGATTACAGATCGTTGTCCAAAGTCCTCGATTCCGATAGTTCTTCGATTCCCCCAATCACCTTTCTGTCTCAATTAGCATCTACTAATTATCGTCGCGGACGTACAGCTTTCGCTTCGACCAGCTTAGCCGGAAAATTCTACAATTCCTCGAAGCTCGATTCCAGCGTTGGTCGAATGCAACGACGTGCGACGACGATAGCCGTGGTGTAAATCGCGCACCACGGGCCAGATCTTTCGCGGACAGGCGGTCTTCGGTGGTTTGCAAGCCGACGAGTGTAGTCAGCAGGCGAAGAGCCGAAGCCACGAAAGAGTAAGGGCAGCGAGAGCTTGGCTTGCGGAGTAAGTTTCGTTGGCTGACGTTTCCGATAGTGCTTCGCACACGGATAGTCCCACCAGGCGACTATGGTTTCTCCATGGCTCGAGATATATGCACCATAGTTTCGAAGTTTGCGCATCCTTCCATCCGGAGGGAGGGAGAGGGGAACATCTCTTACGGCTGAGTCAGGATATTTTGAGTACAAGTCTCTCAAGTCTCTTCGTCGCTCGGTTTTCTCGTTTCGCACGGGAGACAGCTTGCGACTTCGTTCGTCGAGCCATTAACGGATCGATCTTACGTCACGAGACGGGTTATAAAAGTATCAAAAAGAGTGGACTCGCGTGGCCAGCGTAGCATGCGGATCGCATAAATTTACGCGGCGGGTAGCGGTGTGCATTGGAAAAAGTTCTCCGTCGTACCTGCTCGTTCCCATAACATCGTGTCTGTTTCGAGGGTCCGCGTTCGAAGTTGCACGCGACCGTTCCGTCGCTCTCAGATCCCGTATCGGTCCGTCACGAAGACTCGTTCGTTCGAACGGTGGATCGCGATTAGCCGCGGCAATCGCGTCGAAACGTCACGCGGTTATATTAGCGTACGGCCTGGGCGGGGGAGGGGGGAGTGGGGGCGATGGAACGCGGCGTTCATACATCATTACTTCCCACAAATAATTCACCAAGATAATTCGCCTCACAATAAATATCCGATACTAATTAAGCCCGTAATCCAGCGGCATCCGATCCGTAATTCAATTACCCTAATTAATGTTCGATTGCGATTAACAATCCAATTAAAGGTATCCGCCGACCTCGGCAAATAATTTCGTCTGCTGCCGTGAAACGTGACCGCGGTCGAACTGTCAATCCGCGCGAATTTCATACGGAGGCTATCAGATCGGTCTCTCCTCGTCGACGATCAACGTGGGCCATTAAATCCCGCCGAAGCACCAACGAAATTCCCCCGAACGCGTGAACGTCGTCGTGGAAGTCGATGCGGTCTCGCGCGAATCCGAACGAATCGAAACGCGACCGATTACGTCGACCGATGCAACGAAAACGCGCGTTCGATTCGACACCCCGCGTCGAGATTCCCGCTAGCATAAAAGCGCACAAATTTCCACCGCGTCGATCGCCCCGGACACGAAATATCCCCTCGAAATTTCCGCGCGCGCGTTCTTTTTACCGCGTGTCGTCGACGCAACGCGCTCGGCGCGTCGAGAATGCACCGCGCCGGGCCGGCGCATCGTCCGTTCGTATGCAGCTCCGTCGGTTCGCGAGGACACGATGGAGTGTCCTGGACGAACACGGCTCGCGACTTCCGTGATCCTGCTAGCCGGTGCCCTAATTGGCCGTCTGGGCCACGTAAGGGGGCATGTAGGGCCCCGTGAGGATGTACTGCACCGCCACGACCATCAGCTGCGGGGCACTCCACCTGATGATGTACGCGCTCCCTGAAACAGAAATGCATTTTCCGCGTTACTCCCGGATACCTCGCGTGCATATGCAACGCCTAAGTGCCGCGCTGCTCGCCGCGCAGCGCTGCACCAAGCCGCTCCGGTAAAAAGTCGCGGGCCCCACGCGCGCGCGCGCGTGTTGCGGTTGATGCGTGATGCCGTAAGCTCGTGCCTGTGCGTGTCGGTGAATGGGAATTTGGCTGCGGGAACCGGTAATGCATCGCGATGCACTGGAACTTCGATGTTCCACCGATAGAATCAAAGCGTTCGCGATCGATGCTCTAACTGTGCCGGGCATTCTCTGAGTTTTTCGCGTGCGCCGTGCAACTTTGTGCACACTCGCGGCAAACGCTCTTCGACCATTTCTTTCTTTCCAGCGTTTAAATCGTTTCTGCAGTGTTTTTACTCTTTTATGATGCTTTTGGTCTGTATGACCGGTGAATCAGGTTTAGACATCATCGTTTTAATTACCATCATTATTGCAAATAAGTTTTTACTCTCCTTTGTGTTTCGATATTTATTGTTATTGAACTGCGGATTTTTATGCGTTTATGGCATGTGCAGATTTTTAAGATGCAACGAAATATGTAAATTAACAAGGTCTAATAATAATGATCTTTCAATTGAGGAAGGGAACCTTTCTTTAATTCTATATTAATTTTGTAATATCGCGTGCGAAGATGAGAATTTGCATAACGTCTAATTATTATATTTCTTCTTACAATAAACTTAAAATCATTGTAAATATCATAGTGCAGTTTTCACAGATACGCAAGTATTTTTTATTCCATCGGTGCACGGTTTTATTATTATTTTATATTATTATTATTATTATTATTATTATTATTATTAGAAATGTTGCGCAGTTCAATAGTATTAACCCTTTGTAAAATAATAACGAGTTAAACTCGTGATGACGATATGCATTAGATTTATAGATTACATTTCTTCTAATTCGAAACAAAATTTGATTCTTCAGTCATCAAAATCTAGGAATGAAATTAATCAAAGTCATACAAGAAACGCCCTAGCAGAGAAATTATTGTTAATAGATAATAAACTGTGAAAGAAATCGCAGTACAAGGGGTTAATCTACGTTGCGTTTTACAACTAGCAGCTTAAGTTCTCTTTTAATCGTCGAAGTACTAATTATTAGACTGTGGATTATATGCATTTATGACAAAAGAAGCGTGTAGCTGGCAGAAAAAATTGTGAACACGTAAGAAGAATTTAATAATCCAGTTACACTACTTTCAGTTTATTATAATGATTGAAAGAAAGAAATTAATTTCTATTTCATTTCTGTTTCTCGCATCTTTCTCCCATTGTCTTGGCAAATATTTATTTCGCATGCTTTCTGCGATCATATTAGATTGTCGAAGCGACCTCGCGCGGTAGCCACGACGTCCCAAAAACTGAATTACTCCTCGAAAGTGCCTCGGGAACGATGGAATCGCGGTTACCCGGATGATCGAGCGTGCAAGCGGCTCGTCATTGGCTCACTGTTAAATCCGCGCGCATTAATGACGGAGCCGGTCGCGCGACTGGGTCTAATTCCGAAATCGCATTACCGTAATTAGGCGACCGAATCGGATCCGGTGTCGTTCGAAATATTTCGCGGATCACGGTAGATCAATCGTGCTTCGGTCTCGCGGAACGCCGCCGCTCTCGCAGCCGCTCGAACATTCTTCGGTCGTTCTTCCTTTTTTTTTTCTCTCTAAAGGATTCGCCGCGCGGGCGAAAGTTTGCCGCGCGGCGTTCAGAATTTAGATTAACATTTAAGAGAGCACATTTTCGAAATACTTGCCGCATACAGGCAGCATACGTGGAGCGTCTCCGCCGGCGAGCGAAAACTTGCCGAGGGTAAAACTCGTATAAGCGGGAGAGCAGTTTCGCGAGCGGAACTTTTCGTCTAAAGTCCCACGGGTGTTCCCTTCCGCGCTATCTCTGATCTGCGCTCGCTCAAGCTACGTCGGGAGCTCATTGGTTTTCCTATAAATACATCCTTGCCCGATCCGTCGCGACGCGCCGGCCGAGTGTTTCCTCCTCCGGCGTCGCCGCCGCCCCGAAATTTCCTCGCGCTCTCTTCGGGGAAGCGACGCGAGGCGACGCCTCTCACGGAAAAACTCTGCCCTGTCTTCCCGCTATCTTAGCCAACCAGCTTGCCGACTTATTCTCCATCGGTTCACCAGGGACTCGATATGAATATTTCCGAATCCCGAACAGTGCTTCTCCTCTCCCGAAAGCTCGGATCTCCGACTTCGAAGAGATCATCTATTCTCGCAAGAAACAAGCATCAGGGCCGAAACACGCGCTGTTCCCGATCCGGTTAAATATGTGGGTCTTGAATTCGTGGATGCAACTACGTGTCTAATATAATATAAAGTAATAAATTAGTGATAAATAACAATGGTAATAAATGAGTAGTAATAAATTTAGTCCCAAAATTATGGTATTTCTCGGAAATGATGGTTTCCTGAGGTCATTTGAAGTAACTTTTTTCTTTGTGAAAATGCAATCCGCAGCTTTGTTTACGAGTTATTAACGAAAAACGGTGACCAACGAGAGGCGAGCTCGGCTGACGCGGGCGGCCGAGCCAACGGCGCCAGCGGTCGAGCGGTCGAATCCCAGTTCCGCTGATTGGCTCGGCCGCCTCGCGCCAGCTGAGCTGGGATTCGACCGCTGGCGCTGTTAGCTCGGCCGCCTCGCGTCAGCCGAAGCTCGCCTCTCATTGGTCACTGTTTTTCGTTAATAATTCGTTAACGATGCGTCGGAGACAATTTTCGTAAAGGAAAAAGTTGCTACAAATGACCTCAGGAACCCCTCATTTCCCGGAAGCACCGTAATTTTGGGACACGGTCCACACACAGCAGTAAAAATAATAAGTGATGTTACGACGTCGAAGCCACGTTGTATCTAGACCCGACTTGCTTCGCTAAAATCTGTGACTGTAAGGAAGATCGCCGCTTCAAGTTTCGACCGTTGATGCTTCGAATTGCTACTGTTTCAAATTGCATAATTTCTTCGAGTCCGCAGGATTTGTCTTCGCGATGTTTTTTCTGACAAATACACAAATCCCATATGCTAAAGTTCAATGAATGCGTCGACTGGTATTTTTTGAAATCGCGACCATCGGCGTACTTCCGTAGAGCTTATTATTAAAGCTACCATAGAGCGTATTTCCATAGCGTTTGATCCGAGCAAGGCCGTGACCAGCTTGTTAACGGCACGCGCGGCGTGAACACCGTGACGCGAATCGATGAAAGAACTTGCCTACGAGAAGGTCGGGCGAAACAATTTCAATTGTTCCGCGTCCCAGTTCGGCCGGCGCCGAGCTTCGTTTCGCAGAATTAAAGAACGTCGGCAAACATCGATCTCGCGTAATCTCGCTAAGTGATCTCTTTGACAGCGGCGCGAGGCGTCGCGACGCGCAAGACGCTCCCGCGTCGAACGTATCTCCTTTAGGAATTTCATTTCGTTCCCCGTCGGGTGTGCATCGAGCATTTAGCTCTCTCTTTTTTTTCTCTCTCTCTCTCCCCGGCGGCGTGATACGCGCGATTCGATTTAAATGGGGGAGAAGAGAGAAAGGAGGCGACGCGAGCCGTCGCGGCTCCGGGAACTTTTCCCGCTCGAGTCCCGCGGCAGTCTCGTCGAAGGGTCACGAAATCAAAGTTGCCTGGGAGGAAGCCCCCCCCCCCTGCCATCTGTGCCGTGAATTACCTGTCAACCTGACAGCGAGTCCCTTCGTATTTCTGTTTATATCCGCCCTCTCTGTCCCGGCTTCCCGCCGTGGGGCGACAAGAGCCACGATTCTCCCGCAGAGAGACGACAAGTTCTTCCATCCCCCCGCGTTCCCCGGCGCGTCTCATTTGCGTCGATAAGTCGGCGAATTTGTCGGCTTCCCGCGGGAACCGGTACTTTTTAACGCGCTCAATGCCATCGGGTCACCGGTGATCGGCACCAAGATCACCGGAGGCACGTAATTCGAGATTTCAACGCTTTCAACCCTCGTCCCTACCTGGCTTCGATGCGACAAAATTGAGCGTACACCTCTTAAAAGGCAATTTTTAAGGCTTGAATTCTTTTTAGATGAATTTCTTTTTAGAGGAACTAGTCTACTAGACGATTACTACGATTTTGCTATTACTTGGGATGGCGAAACAGAAAATAAAGTACTCTCGTTTTTAGCTTTTTTATTCGAGCCTATAACAAAAATTTAATTTATATTTAATTTATATACGTGCCGAAAATTTGAATTTCAAGTAATAGCAAAATTTAAAAAAAACTTTCCAGTCTAGTAGACTAGTCTCTCTATCACCTAAAAAAAGATCAAGTCCCTAAGTTCCGGTTTAAAAAAGTTATTGCGTTTTAAAAGGCGCACGCTCAATTTTATGAGTAACTGTACATTATTCTGCTATTTTTAGGAAAACTGATTTCAGACTTTACGTCTTTTATTTTCTTATCATGAAGTAATTTATGGAATCTATTAAATCAATTTATGGAATTTATTAAATCAATGAAGAACGAAATCAAATTTGTCTGCACTAATTATACGATACAGGATCTACATGGACATTGATTTCGTTTTTTAATCATTTGAACGAGGTGAAAACAATGCAACAATATTTATCTCGAATTCTTTTAAATGTTTTCACTATTTTCACTGTTTCGTATCTCAACTCATATCTGTCATAAACGCATAAAATCCGTGATTCTACTTGTCTAACCACGATCACGTTACACTATTTGTCTTATCGTTTGCAAGTCCCTATTTCTACTTCTTCGATCGCAGAGGCTGTCTCGATTTTATTTATCTGATCCGATATCGGTCTTATTCTACTTGTCTGACCACAGGCTATCTCCACGCAGGATAGCCGATCAGGATACATCTCGATCCTACTTTTTTCGACTACACAAGGTGTCCCAAAATTATGGTACTTCTGGGAAACGAGCGATTCCTCGGGCCATTTGAAGCAATCTTTTCTCTAGCGCAAATG